CCCGCCCCCTAACCCCGCGCGTGCACCTGTCCTTCAACCCATGCGTGCCCCCTCCTGGCCCCGACACGCCCCGGTCCACCTGGGCTCTGCGCTGCCAGGGAGGCAAGGGCCCTGTCAATCCGGGAGAACCTGTCCTCCCCGACGGGCCAGAGGTTCCCAGAAAAGACAGGTCCTCAGACAGCCCCACCTGGCCAGGGGCTTCCGTCCAGTCCGGGGGCTTTGCGGAGACCCACTCCCAGAGCGGGACTGTGTCCCTTCAGGCCTGAAGCTGGCCTGAGCCCCTCGATTGAGGTTGTGAGGTGCTGCTTGAGCAGGGGGTCCTTACTCCCCAAAGGAAGCAGAAGGCTCACTGTCATTTCCTCTTGATGGCTGGCGTGTTAGTGTCACCGTCCAGCGGCGCCTCCTTGTTCTCTGCAGAAAGGGGAATAGTGGTGGCTGGGGACTGACCAGTGCCTGGGGGTGGTGACCTGCTGGTGAGGGCTGGCCGGTGCCTGGGGGGTGGTGACCAGTAGGTGGGGGACTGACCAGTGCCTGGGGGTGGTGACCTGCTGGTGAGGGCTGGCTGGTGCCTGGGGGTGGTGACCAGTAGGTGGGGGACTGACCAGTGCCTGGGGGTGGTGACCTGCTGGTGAGGGCTGGCTGGTGCCTGGGGGTGGTGACCAGTAGGTGGGGGACTGACCAGTGCCTGGGGGTGGTGGCCAGCAGGTGAGGGATGATCAGCAGTGTGAGGGCTGACCGGTGGCCTTGGGCTTGCAGACATGGGGAACTTAAAGTCCCCAGCAGAGACAGTGGGAAGCTGCTAGCTGTGGGTTTGGGCTCTCTGAATCTTTGGGCCCATTTAAGGAAGCAGTCACCCATGAAGTGTGGGAGACACAGAACTGTGGCTGAGGGTCTCAGGAGAACCCAGAGGCTCGGCCTGCACCCACTGCTGGTGGCCGCCAGTTTGAGGGGCCCTGCAGTGGGCCAAGGGCACAGCTTCCTGGAGGGGATGATGTCGTCAAGTCTGCACCTCCCTGCACTAGGCCCTGGACACGGTAGAGAGTGCACACATCACCTGTGGCTTTGGGGACAGCATCACTGAGACTGTCCCATTTCACAGACAGAACCTTGCCTCACAAGGCAGGGCCACCAGGCAGTTGTCACGGGGCCAACTTGAGAGGGTCCTGTTACGGCCCTAGCTGGATGGTGGACCTAGGAGCCTGGCCAATTGGCATGTCTAGGCAGTGGGGTTGGGGGCCCTGGCCTGCAGGGGGGCCTGGCAGCTGGGGGACTACTTTCTTAACCAGAGCAAGTCAGGCAGTTGTGAGGTCAGCTGGCCTGAGGCTTGCAGGATAGGAGAAGTTGGGGTTGGTGTGCCCAGCTGGGGTCTTTCAGTTAGGGACTGAACCTAGTCTGGTCAGCTCTGGGTGGCAGGACGCCCCCTACAGCCTGTCCCTGTTGATCCACGTGGGATACCGGGCTCCGTGGACTCTCCCACCCATGGGTAGTGATGAACAGGTCAGTCAGCCCGCATGCCGTGTGGTCCCTGGCCGCCCCACTGACCCTGTCTCCCGCAGGCCCTGCTGGTGCTCGCTGTCCTGGCTTATATCCACGTGGCCTTCTCCCGCTCGCCCATCAACTGCCTGGAGCACGTGCGTGAACGCTGGCCCCGCGAAGGCGTCCTGCGAGTGGAGGTCCAGCACAACTCGAGCCGTGCGCCCGTCTTCCTGCAGTTCTGTGATGGTGGTGCTCGCAGTGGCGTCCCCGGCCTGGCGGTGGAGCCTGGGGGCGGCCTGGAGCTGGAGGAAGAGGAGGAGGAACTGACCATGGACATGTTCGGGAACAGCTCCGTCCAGGTGTGCCGCCACCCACTGCCCCCAGCCTGGCCCACAGGGCTGTGTCCCTGGAAGGGCTGACGTGGGGTGGAGGGCAGAAGTGGCCTAGGAGATGGCCCTTTGGAGGTCCTGGCCAGACGCTCCTGTCCGTGAGGTGGAGCAGTGGCCTTTGCAGATGCCAAGGGCATGCAAGTTCTGCTGGCTCAGTTGGGGCCCTGATCCCATAGGGTCTCCAGGCATGAGCACTGCCACCTATGAGGTGGACATGGAGGCATTGGGTCAGTTCAGCGGTGGGCAGAGGTGTCCAGACCCTAGCTGTTGGGTGGGGCCTATGGCCACGTGGAGTCAGGACTGGAACAGCTGGGGTGGTGGGGACACCCAGGTGGTGGGGCCCCTGGGTGTCCTTTGTCAAGATTGGGGGTACCAGGACTGCAGTGACCACCCAGCCAGGCTACTCCCTGGACACCAACAAGGGTTCTCTGGTGCCCACAGTTTGAGCTGGACATCGAGCCTAAAGTGTTCAAGCCACTGGGCACCACAGATGCCCTCAATGACAGCCAGGAGTTCCCCTTTCCGGAGATGCCCACCAAAGGTAGGTCCCTCTGTGCCCCTGTTGGGTGCCCTGATGAGGCCAGCACCCAGGCCCATCTCCCCATCTGTCGCTCGGCAGCATGACAGGCACAGGATCCTTTCTGGGGACCCGCAGTCTCCATGTGGGTGTGGACCTTGTGGTCCCTATGTGGTTGTGGGTTCTGTTGTCCCTCTGGGTGTAGGTTCCTTGGTCCTCGTGTATGGGACCTCTGTGGACCCTCTGTAGTCCCTTTGTGGGCATGAGCTTCATGGTCCTTGTATGGGGGTTCGGCGGACCCCATGTAGGTGTATATCTGCACCTAGTCTCCTGAGCGGCCTGCCCATGGGTGAGGCCTCAGAAGGGCAGGAGCGTGGCCTGCTTCCCCGGAGGTGTGGGTATGTGGTAGGCCCACCGGCCGGGTTCTCAGCACCACCTTCCCCTAGCCTGGCCCCAGGACGAGTACATCGTGGAATATTCGCTGGAGTACGGCTTCCTGCGTCTCTCTCAGGCTACCAGGCAACGCCTCAACATCCCAGTCATGGTGGTCACGCTGGGTGAGTGTGGCACTGGGCAGAGGGTGGGCTGGGTGTGGGAGACACACACTTGACACCCCTGTGCTCCCAGACCCCACCCGGGACCAGTGTTTTGGGGACCGCTTCAGCCGCCTCCTGCTGGACGAGTTTCTGGGTTACGATGATATCCTCATGTCCAGCGTCAAGGGCCTGGCCGAGAACGAAGAGAACAAGGGTACAGCTTGCTAGGGGCGGGGGACGTGGAGGTGCTGGGACACCCCCCCCCACTGCCGCAGTCCTGCTCAGAGGCGGGGGATGGGGAGGTGCTGGGGACCCCCCCACTGTCCCAGTCCTGCTGAGAGGCGGGGGACGGGGGAGCTCAGGACGTGGCACTGTGTGGGGACACACTGCCCCCCACCAGGCTTCCTGCGGAACGTGGTGTCAGGCGAGCATTACCGCTTTGTCAGCATGTGGATGGCGCGCACGTCCTACCTGGCTGCCTTTGTCATCATGGTCATCTTTGTGAGTGCTGGGGTGGGCAGGGGCTGGGAGCCAGGGGGTATTTGTGGGTGTGTGCCCCCCACTCTCCTGAGTCCGACGTGTCCCTTGCAGACCCTGAGCGTGTCTATGCTGCTGCGCTACTCCCACCACCAGATCTTTGTCTTCATTGGTGAGCACGTGGCCTGGTGGCCCGGTGTGGGGGGGTGTCCTCCGCCTGCCACACCCTCACCGCCCACCCTGTGTCCGCAGTGGACCTGCTGCAGATGCTGGAGATGAACATGGCCATCGCTTTCCCCGCAGCGCCCCTCCTGACCGTCATCCTGGCCCTTGTAGGTGAGGACCACCCACCCCGGCAGTGTCCCTCCACACAGGCACAAGGCCCTCACCGCCCGGCGCCCTCACCGCCCGGCGCCCACTGCCACACACGCCCCTCCCTGCAGGCATGGAGGCCATAATGTCCGAGTTCTTCAATGACACCACCACCGCCTTCTACATCATCCTCATCGTGTGGCTGGCTGACCAGTACGACGCCATCTGCTGCCACACCAGCACAAGCAAGCGGCACTGGCTCAGGTGAGCTGACTGCCAGGCGCCGTGCAGGGGGTTGGGGAGCGGACGCCTGTATCCTCACCGCCGCCTGCCCCCTCAGGTTCTTCTATCTGTACCACTTCGCCTTCTACGCCTACCACTACCGCTTCAACGGGCAGTACAGCAGCCTGGCGCTGGTCACGTCCTGGCTTTTCATCCAGGTGAGCGCTGCATGGGCCAGGTGGGGGCCGGGCTAGGGGCGGGGAGGCCTGGCTGTGGTGGGGAGGCTGGGCTGGGAGGGGGCAGAGGCCAGGCTGGGGGGCATCAGTGTGGGCAGCCCCGCCCTGCAGGCTGTGCTGACCAGTGCCCATCTCCTCCAGCACTCCATGGTGTACTTCTTCCACCACCTTGAGCTGCCTGCCATCCTGCAGCAGATGCACATCCAGGAGCTGCTGCTGCACTCGCAGCCAGCCGGGCCCGGCCAGGCCGGGCTCCCCAGCGGCACTGCAGGACAGCCTCAACAACAATGCTGCCGCCCCCGGACACCCCACCACCACGCCGCCCGCCCTGGGCCCTGGCTCGCCTGCTGCCGGTGGGGCGCCAGGGGCCGTGGCACCCAGCTCCCTGGTGGCCGCAGCCGCCTCGGTGGCAGCCGCAGCTGGGAGTGACCTGGGCTGGATGGCAGAGACAGCGGCCATCATCACGGACGCGTCCTTCCTGTCGGGCCTGAGCGCCTCACTCCTGGAGCAGCGGGTGCCCCCGACGGCCCCTGTTCCCCAGGAGGGCACCCCCCTGGACAGTGTCCCACACCTGGAAGCCCTGGCAGTAGATGGGGGTTCCCCCACAGCCCAGGAGAGTGGCCCCAGCCCTGCCTCCGTGACTCCTGAGGACTTGCCCTCTGAGGCCGGCTCCTGAGCTTTCCTTGTCCCCGACGTCCTCGTCCAGCTCGGCATGGCCCTGCTGTGACCACAGGGGAGGGGAGACCTGTGGACCACCTTGCCCTCTCTGGGCACTGGAGCCTTCTGCCCTCTACTCAGCCACGGGTGGGCTCTGCTGGGTCTTCTTTGGGTGGGCCCAGGGGCCCCGCCTTAAAGCGACAAGGGAGGCGGCCCCCAAACCTGGGGCAGGAAGATGTGGGCTCCGCAGGACGTTCTGTCGGGCTGGCCAAAGGTCTGGAGTGAGCTGCCCCAATAGAAAGAGCGGTGCTGGTGGGGTGGGGCTCTGGGCGGATCAGGGGTGGCACCTGGTACAGCTCTGCCCCCCCAGCTGGTGCCGGTGCCCAGCACAGTGCCTTCTCCATGCCCTCCCCGTGCGCTCTGGGCCGGAGAGTGGGCCAGCGCCTGGGCACAGGGCCGTCGGCCAGGGAGTCACTCAGAGGGACGCGGAGAGTGCTCATTCCACTCTTATTTAATTGCGGTGTACAAAATTGTGTTTGTATATAGAATAAACCATCTGTTGACAGGCTGCGTTTGCGCGTGCGCCACGTTTATCCACGGACAGGGTGTGCTGCTGCTGTCCACGGGCAGGGTCCCCACATCTGTCCAAGGGAAGTGTGCGTTCGCATCTGTCCACGGGAAGGGTCCCCGCAGGCCAGGCTGTCACGGGGGTGTCTCGGGGGAACACAGCCCCCCGTGGGCACCGTCCCCGAGCTGGGCCAGCAGCTCCCCACGCCGCAACAGCGCCTGCCTCAGCCGCTCGCGGACGCGCTCGATGTGCTGCTCCAGCGCTGCCATGTCGCCGGGCCCCGGGGTGCCGGCGGGCGTTAGCAGGGGCGCACCGCCGTTGGAGCAGAGCCACACGGGGCCCTCGGGTGGCCCGGCGGGGTCCTCGTGCGCCCCCTCTGCTTCCGAGGCCGCAGGCTCCAGCAGGAAACGCACGCGCCGCTGCTCCGTCCGCACTGCGCGACGGACACGACTCCAGCCATCCCGGCCGCTCATGGGCACCGCTGCCCTCTGCTGTTGGGGTTCTGCGGGGCCGCTGCGGACAAGGTTGGGACTGGAGCTCTCGCCCCATTAGACCCAACCCCCAGCCGTCCCCGGATGGGGTCCTCGCCCCTCTGTGCTCAGGGAAGGGGTCAGGGGCCGCAGCGGTGGCTCGGACTGTCTGGAAGGGCAGCGCACCCACGGAGGTTGGTTGGCGCTGCGCACAGCTGCGGGGCGGGGTTCCAGTCTGCGGCTTCTCGGGCCACCCCCTTACCTGGGATCCTGCCGCTCCTCGTCTGCCCTCTGCCCCTCCGGTGGCTCAGTGTTGAGGGCACGGTGGATTTTCTAGGAGTGGACAGACCAGGTCAGGCTGCGGTTTGGGAGGGTGGCCCCCTGGTGTGCCCAGGCCCCACCTGGCTGGTGTGCCCCGCGCCCCAGGCCCCACCTGGCTCGTGTGCAGCCAGTACTGCCGCTTGTTGCCCCTGCGGATGCGCGGCAGCACCAGGTGGTAGAAGACATGCTCGCCCAGCAGGCTGAGCAGGGCGCTGCCCAGGCCGAGACACAGCAGCACGAAGAGCCCTGAGAAGTGGTAGATGCCCATCTGGAGCGTCTGTGGACAGAAGGACACTGTGTCACAGTCCCTAGGCTAGGCATGCAGGCGATCACCACGGACAGGTTTACGGGAAGGGATGCTGGTGCTACAGACAAGATGAGCAGGGGTGGCCCTGCAGGTGCGGGTCCCGGACCGCCCTGCCTCCGTGACGGCCAACACCCGCTGTCCACAAGGCCGCGGGGTCCCGACTGCCCTACCTCTGTGACGGCGAACACCCGTTTTCCGCAAGGCACCATCCGGTACCACTTGTCGTGCAGCAGGTCAATGAAGCCTGAGGACTTGTAGCGGCTGATGAACTCGGACAGGTTGGAGGTGAGTGGTGAGTTCCGGGGCAGCCCGATGCCGTAGCCTGGGGAGGACAGCCTGGGTGGCGCCACGTGGACATCACCCAGAGAACTGGCTCCCGACCAGGCAGTGACGTGCTGGCCCGGAAGGCCCCTTCACCCCAACGTCCCTGCAAGTCCTGGACCACCGCCCCCTCACCCTCGATGGCGAACGGCTTGCCCACGGTGAGAAGTTTGCAATCGGCGTCAATAGAGACCTCATAGTCCAGGAGGGACTTGTCCATGATGAAGGCATTAAGTGTGGGGGGGTCACTCCTGCAGAGGAAGGGGTTGAGGGCGGGTTAGATCCTCCAGCCCTGACTTCAACTGTGTCCTGCCCTTGATGATGGCCCCGCCCCAGATCAGCCTCACCCCTCCTTGCCTCTCCAGCCAGGCCCCGCCTCAGTTTGGACCGGCACTCTCTAGCCAGTCCACGCCTCCAGATCAACCCCACCCCCTCTAGCCAGGTTCCGCCTCCCGGTTGGTTCCACACCTGCTTAGTCCCGCCCCCTCCATCCAGGCCCCGCCTCCCTCTCGGTCTCTCATCCTCTACTAGGCCCCGCCCCCTCGGGCTAGGCCCTGCCTCCCCCTTGGTCCCACCCCTCGAGCCAGGTCCCGCCTCCCGCTTGGTCCCGCCCCTGGTGATGGCTCCACCCACCCGCTCGTCAGTTTCCCCCCCCCCCACGGCGGTCGCCCCCTCACGTGAGCATGGCGACCCCCTCGGGGGTGGTGGGGGCCCCGTGGCGGCGCATGTGCGCGTGCATCTCGGGGAAGCTCTTCTTGATGTAGGCCTCGGCGCTGCTCTCCCGCACGGTGCCCACACGGAAGCCGGGCGGCGGGCGGTGCAGCTGCGGGAGACATGCGGTCAGCCAGCTCGCCCTTCTGGACACATCCCCCAAGCCATGGCCCGCGAGGGTGCTCGACATGCTGACCCTTCTGGGGCCCACCATTCCGGGCCCTGCAGGGTGTTGTGTGGCAACCCAGGCCTCCCCTCACTCGTGCCTGTGACACCCCCAGGACAAGAGTGGCCTCAGCACAGCCAAGTGTCCCCTGAGGGCAGAAACCCTGCTCTAATCTCCACTTGAGAACGCCCACCTGGCCCTAAAGTCCAGATTCAGAGCCCACTGCCTCCTCTTCGCTCCCTGGCATCCCCGGGACCTGAGCTCACTCTGTCCCCACCCAACCCTCAGGGGCAGCTTCAGAGCACTCCCGAATTTGCCCCCACCCTGTGTCCCCTCACACTGCACCCCACACAGTTATCTTCATTCTGCAGCAGATGGGGGATCCTACGGATGGATGAGTGAAGTGTCCTTAAAAGTCACGCCACATTCAACAGGGTAAAAAGGAAAGCCACAGACTGGGGGAAAATATTTGGCAATGACATATTTCATAAGGGACTCATATCTAAAATGTATAGAACTCTACAGCACCACAACAAGAAAAAGTAAACCCAATTGCAAAATAGGCACAGGATATGAACAGACACTTCACCAAAGAAGACCTTCAGATAGGGAACAAACAGGTGATGAACTGTTCACAATCCCTAGCTCTAAGATAGAAGCAAATCAAAACAACTAATATCATCTCACCCCAGCAACAAGAGCAAAGTTCAACAGAGCAGCAAACAGCAAATACTGACCATTTATAGAGAGATTAGAACCTTTAATTCACTGCTGGTGGAAGTGTAAAATGGTGCAACCACTCTGGAAGGCAGTATGGTGCTTTCTCAAAAAGTTAGAAATATTATTTGACCCAGCAATTCCCCTACTAGGAATATACCCTAAAGAAACCAGAACTGCCACCCTAACAGATGTATGCACACCCATGTTTATTGCTGCGTTATTCACAATAGCAAAGAGATGGAAGCAACTCCAGTGCCTATCAACAAATGAATGGGTAGAAAAATTGGTATATTCACACAGTGGAATACTATGCAGCACTGAAAAAACAATGACCTCATAAAATATTACACAACATGGGTGACCCTGGAGGACATTATGCTGAGTGAAATATTTCTGTCACAAAAGGACAAATACTGCATAACACCACTGTTATAAAACAGGGCTGACATGGGGGTTGGGAGGAAACAAGGAAAAGAGGGGATAGATCATGAACACTGTGTTGGAACAGATGAAAGGACTGTTTAAAAGGAACCTATGATTAGGAATTATCTGTATGATAACAGTCCAGAATAAAAGCTGAATAGCCAAGAGGACTGAGGGGGAGGCAGGGACAGAAGTAACTGCAAAATGAGCAAATATTTAAAAAAACAAACCACTGAGGGAGGAAGTAAAATGTGCAATGAGTGAATGAAAAACTAACTTTTCTATAAACTATCACTAAAATTACAATTAAAATATAAAATGTTTATTAAAGAAACTAGAATGAAGTCACCCCACAGCACGGGGACTCCCTCCTTGCCTTGAGTCCCATGGCCAGCAGTTGGTCACCAGTGGTCAAGACCTGAACACTTAACTGTACGTCCTTTCAGTGTAGGAAGTTACGTGGGGACCCTCACCACGTGGGGAGCAGCCTTCACAAGGGACACACGCAGCCTAGACTGTCACCAACACAGCAAGGACACAGCATGGCAGAGAAGCATCCTGAGGGACTCGGGGGGGTTTAAGGGCCTCTTATCAGAGGTGGACAACCAGTCCTGCCGCTTTAGACTAGAATCTCCACAGGAAGAAAAACTGAACATAAATGGCAACTGTACAAATGGACCTCACCCAGCGGATGACAGAAGACCAGACTGGCCGCATCTAGGAAAGAGGGGCTGCAGAAGCAGCAGCTGGAACAAGGCAGGGTCAACTGTGTGACCCAACAGGCCATGGTTACTCCTGAGTGTTCAAAGCGAAGCTGAAGAAAATGAAAGCAAATCCCTAAGAGCCAAAATTCAACGCTGACTTCAAGGGCTCTGAGATTCCCATTCTTCAAATGTCAGCCACAGCTTGTCATGATTCACACAGTCAAATGCCTTTGCATAGCCAATAAAGTACAAATACACATTCTTCTGGTTTTCCTTACTTTCAGCCAGGATCCATCTGACATCAGCAGTGATATCCCTGGTGCCACGGCCTCTTCTAAATCCCATTTGAGCATCTGGCAGTTCCCTATCTCTGAACTGTTGCAGCTGTTTTCTAATGATCTTCTGCAGTATTTTGCTAGCATGTGATATCAGTGATATTGTTTGATAATTACTATTCAGTTGGATCACCCTTCTTGAGGATAGGAACAAATATAGACCTCCGTTGGCCAGATAGCCGTCTTCCATATTTCCTGACATAGACTGGTGAGTGCACCCAAGGCTGCATCTGTTAATTGAAACAAGTCAATTGGTATCCCATCGATTCTTGGGGCCTTACTTTTTGCCAGTGCCTTCAATGCAGCTTCTACTTCCTCATTCATTACCATTGGCCCCTATTCATATGGTACTTAGTCAGATTTTTCAGTGTCTATCAATTCATTCTGGTACAGTGACTCTGTGTATTCCCTCCATCTTCTTTTGATGCTTTCTGGGTCATTCAATACATTGTCCATAGCATCTTTCAACATTGTGATATGAAGCTTTAATTTGTTTTTCAGTTCTTTCAGCTTGAGAAATGCAGAGCAAGTTCTTTCCTTTTTATTCTCCAATTCCAGCTCTCTGCACATTCCATTTTAGTACTTGGCTTTGTCCTCCCTCGCTACCCTTTAAAACCGTCTCTTCAGCTCTTTTACTTTGATGTGTTTTCCTTTTGTTTTGGCTTCTCAATGCTCCAGTGCAATCTTTAGTCTCTTCTGACATCCATTTCAATTTTTTCTTTCTCCTGTTTTGTAATGATCTTTTGCTTTCTTTATAGATGGTATCATCTCACAACTCATATGATCTTCAGTCACTGGTGTTCAATGCCTCAAACCTATTCTTAAGATGATCATGACACTGAATGAATGAAAAAATCTATAAATTTTCATTAAAATGAATAATAATACTAAATTTTTAAAAAAATTAAAAAAGATGATCTTGAAATTCAGATGGAAAGGATTCAAGCTTAAATCTTGGTTCTTGTGGACTTATTTTCATTTTCTTTGACCTCAATTTAAACTTGCATATGAGTAATTGATAATCTGACCCATAGTCCACCCCTGGCCTAGTTTTGACTGCCGATATTGAGCTTCTCCAACGATTTCTTCCACAAATGTAGTCAATCTGATTCCTATGTATCTCACCACTACATGGTTTAAGATTAAGAAAGGTGTGGGTGAGGGTTGTATCCTCTCTCCATACCTATCCAATCTGTATGTTGTTGTTGTTGTTATGTGCTATCAAGTCACCTGTGACTCATAATGACCCTATGAACTCTTCCCTGTCCTGAGCCTCCAACACACTGACCCCCATTACCTCACTTACGGTGTCAACCCATCTCATCCGGGGTCTTCCTCTCCTGCTCTGTCCCTCCACCCTTCCAAGCATGATGTCCTTCTCTAAGGACTGGTCCCTTCTTGCCTCATGGCCAAAGTATTAGATGGAAAATCCTTGCCTCCAAGGAGCAACTTAGTTTCACCCTCTCCAGGACAGACCTGTTTGTTTGGCAGCCCAAGAGCTGGACAATGACTAAGGATAACAGAAGAAAAATTGATGTTCTGAGCATCAATGTGGTGTTGCAGAAGAGTGCTGAACTTCCCGTGCATGGACTAAAGAACAGACAATTATGTCTTGGAGAGGGTGCAGCCAGAGTCCTCCTTGGAGGCAAAAGTGACAGTGTCATCTCACATTCTTTGGGCATGTTGCTAGAAAAGCTGTTCACTGGAGATGGACATGGCGCCTGGAAAGGTGGGCGGCTGAGAAAGAGAGGAAGCCCCGCGACCAGATGGACCGATGCAGTGAATGTACAAAAGACACGGCTCAGAGCTGAACTCTGAGCGTCTCTACGTGCCATACTCAAGGGTAACTAACAACAACGACAACATGCAGTGTGTATGCTGAGCTCGTATTCGGACTACTTGAGGAAGAATGTGACATCAGGACTGGAGGAAGACTCATCAACGACCTGTGATATGCAGATGACACAACTTTGCCTGCAGAACGTGAAGAGGACTTGAATCACTTGCTGGAGACATCAAAACCTGCCACCTTCAACATGAATGACATCTCCACATCAAGAAAACAAAAAATTCCCATCACTAAGGATGCCTTCAAGTTGTGATGCTGAAGAGTGTTGACTGTACCGTGGACTGCTAGGTGAACAAACAAGTTCATCCTGGAGAGAGGGTGAAGCCAGAATGCTCCTTGGAGTCAGGGATTCTGAAGCTCTGTCTGAAATACTATGGGCATGTTGAAAGGAGGGACCAGTCCTTGGAGAGGGACGTCACGCTTGGAAGGATGGAGGGACGGTGAAAGAGAGGGAGATCCTGGATGAGATGGATTGATTCAGTGACTGGGGTGATGGAGGTAGGTGTGTCAGAGACAGTAAGGTTGGCACAGGATAGAGCAGGCCTCAGGGCTGTTATATATGGGGTCGCTATGAGTCGCAATCCACTCGATGGCACATAACAACAACAACAAACCAATAAAGAACATCATGATAGATGGAGAAAAGATTGAGGTTGTCGAGGATTTTGTTTCACTTGGGTCCCAAGTAAACACCCATGGCGGCAGCAGTCAAGAAATCAAAAGAAGTCATGCAGTGGGAAGACGTACTGTCAAGGACCTCTCTAAAGAGCAAGGAGGTAAGCGTGAAGACTGAGGAGCATCTGACCCAAGGCATAGTCTTTCTCACTGCTCCCTCTGGACGTGGAAGTCGTACAGGAAGTAAGGACGACGGTGGTGTCAAGTTCAAAATTACCGCCCTCACCGTTGGTTCTGACT